GATAGATTTTAATAATTACAAGGTAAAACATATTACCTTATAAGAAAGAAAAGGGTAGACTAGTAAGTAAAAAAGACAGGTTGGCTCACAAAGAGTATGAGATAAAGTTAAAGAAATAGCATCATAAATTTAAGACACTTAAATTGACTGGTATTTTCAGTACATTAAAAGCAAAAAATATGTTAGGAGTGGGGGGGGGGGTAGGACCTTTGAGGGATGATAAAGGAAGGCTAGCATCTGATGATTATGAGATGGCTGGGCTACTTGATTTTTCATTTTCTTCAGTTTTTACTATCAAAGATTTAAGCAGTATTCTACATCTTGAACAGTTGATAAATGGAAATGAGATCAAACAAGATGACTGCATTAATTCTGAATTATTAAGAAAAAATTGGAAAGTTTAAAAAAAGATAAGGCTCCTGGGCCAGATAATATTTCCCCAAGGGTTTTGAAGGAGGTTAAAGAATGGATATGTTAGCCACTTACTACTATTTTTTTTCCTTGAATAGTGGGCAAGTACCAGAGGATTAGAAGTTAGCTAATGTAACTCCTTTTTTCAAGGGAGGTGATAAAAATTGTCCCAATAATTATAGACCCATTAGTCTTACATAAGTTGTGGGAAAAGTTTTGGAAAGTCTTTTAAAAGATGCTTTGCAAAGTCATTTAACAATGTCTAGAATTTTCTTGGATAGTCAACATGGTTTCACCAAGGGAAAATCTTGCCTTATGAATCTTTTGACATTCTTTGAAAATATTACAGCTTATGTAGATGAGGGTAAGGGTTTAGATTTGGTGTATATGGATTTTCAGAAAGCATTTGAAAAGGTGCCCAAAAAAAGGACTAGTAAAAACATTATCTCTATAGATTTGTTTTGTTTGTTTGTTTTGAATATTGTGCAAAGCTATATGAGGGCTATCTGCAGTAGCCATCCCTAATTTAGCAGTGTAAGACTAGAGGAAAGTCAGCTAGTCATCACCACCCACCACAATCTCTTGGGCTACTATTTTACCAACGAATAGTGGGATTGACTGTCTCATTATAATGCTCCCATGACTGAAACGATGAGCATGTTTGGTGTGATGGGGATTCGAACCAGCGACCCTCAGATTGCGAGTCGAGCGCCCTAACCACCTGGCCATGCCGGGCCTATCTCTATAAGTGTAGGGAATAAGTTAGCAAATTGGATGGAAGAAAGCAGAGGGTTGTTACAAATGGAGTTCAGTCAAACTGGATTAATGTCTCAAGTGGGGTATTTC